AAACAATATTGAATAGTTTAAAAAACAATTATCACGGCTTTATTGGAAGTATATAAATTTTAATGACGACGTAAATTAAATTTACAAAATTTTTTTTTATTATTTTATTCTGTCTATGATGCCAAGTTTCCCATTTGTGAAAAAACAATAAATCAATAAAGCTTATATGCTCCTTGGATAACTAAGGGTTATAAAAAATTATTTAGATCAAATAAAAGCTATATATAAATTACTTGAAAACAAAAACACCTTTAAACGAAAAAATTATACAAAGATTACAAACATCTATTTAAAAAAACTTGTAAAAACTTAAAAAATAAGTACTACTCAAAATTAATTGAAAATGTTAAGAACGACTCTAAACGTACTTGGAAAATATTAAGAGAAATTAGTGGAAAAAACTTGCTCAGGTTCTCTACCGCAGGTGATTAGAGTGGATAACAAAGATGTTTTTTAACCTAGATTAATAGCTAATGAGTTTTACAAATTCTTTATTAATATCGGTTCTAAACTAGCAAATAAAATTCCTAATACCCAAGTTGTGTTCAATAACTTTTTAACACCGATGGATGATTGCATTTGCTCCAATAATTTATCTTCTGAACTATCATTTGAGGAGTTTCAAGTATCGTTTAAATCTATTTAAAAAAAAACAAAGGCCTTTGAGTTAATGAAATAAATGGAAACAACGCTTTGAACAATTAAAAGATAATCTATTTAAAGTTTTTATAGCGTCAATATAACAAGGACTTTTTCCTGATAAGTTAAAAATAAGATAATCCCAATATACAAAGAAGGAGACAGAACTAATATATGTAACTGCCAACTTGAATATTATTGAATGGATGGGTAGTGCAATTTTGAAATGGTTTAAAAATTATTTAACAAACCAAAAACAATTTGTTTCTTTTTACAATCCTTATCAAAAAAATGTTTTTGATATTTCATGTGGTGTTCCGCAAGGATCAATTTTGGGGTCACTTCGTTTTTTAATATACATCAGTGATTTGCATAAAGCTTCTAATCTTTTAAGTATTATGTTTGTGGACGATACAAATTTATTTTTATCTAATAACAATATTAATAAACTCTTCACTACTATGAATGAAGAACTCAAAATAATTTATATATATATATATATATATATATATATATATATATATATATATATATATATATATATATTTATATATATATATATATATATATATATATATATATATATATATATATATATATATATATATATATATATACAAAGCATAAAGTATTAGAAATATTAAGTTCGTAAATATTAGTTATTCTCATTTCAGAAAAAAGTTGTTTAGAGTGAGAAAAATGATCGGCAAAATTAATTACACGTATTCCATGATTCTGACGCCGATAGAGAGATTGTAACTTTTTTCAGAAAAAAGACACATTATTTTTTTTATATTTTTATGAAAATTTTTAAAAAAATTGTTAAAAATATGCAGAAATGCTTCACTAAGAAAAATGAAATGTTTTTGTCAAAAAAAAATTTTTAAAAACTTTATCAAAAATCCATAATGGCGAAAAAATAGTGTAAATAAAGACCTAATTCTTATGTTTTCAAAACACGTTATCTTGAGTTAAATTTAAGAACCATGAATCAAACTTTGCAGATCTGTTGTTAACATTATTTTACTCCATTTAAAAGATAGATTTTTAATTGGTCTTTTTATATGTAAAGATATAACTTTTTTTTTAAAACAAGTTAAAATTTGTACGATTTACAAGCAGTTTAAAAAAGTTAAAACTAAAAATAATGAGTTTTAAAAATAATTAAATAAAATCTATCTGTCAAATGAATTCTAATGTTGTTCGGAATATGTCCTAAAAATATCAGAACAAAGGTTTTATTCAATCAGAAAAAATCATGTTTTAAAATTTTGATAAAATATGAAAAACTCGACTTGCAGTAAAAACAAAGTACAAAATAAAGAAAAAATCTCATTTAAACAGTAAAATCATGATAAAATCTTTCTGAAATATATGAGTCTTAAGGTTCATTTGCTTTATGATTTTTAGTGAAATCTTTTTTTTATTGCTCTTAGTTTTTTTCTCTGTTTCTTTGCCGTAGTTTTACGTTTCATTCGTTTTACTTATATACTGTCTGTTAAACTTGTTGTCAATTGTTTAACATTTTTTTGTAGATCAAAATGCTGTAGTCCTTTAAATACACCATTTCTACCATCATTGAAATGAAAAATAGCAGAGTTTACACCCATTTCTACAACATCTTTACTAACAAATGTGATTATTTTAGGTACCTTAAATCATATGAGTGAGTTGAGCGCTTCATTTAAACTTTGTGTTTGACCATGCAAACATTTTAACAGTAATTCATTCTTCTGTAAATCCATAAAAATGGGTGTAATGAGATGTTTTATTGATAGAGAAATTGATATATTTGGTTTATAAGTTTTACTTGAAGTCCAATATTTGTATTAAAATGATTCATTTTGATTCAAATATTGAAAGCAAATTGTGTCTCTCAGAATTTGAAATACCTGTAATTAGAAAAATGTTTGCAAAAAACAGCGTTTTTTTTTGTTTATTTGTTTTTTTAAAGTTAATTTTCTTATTTATTATTTATAGTTTATTAGTAATTAATAATAAATCTTTAATCCAATACTAACAACAATAGAGTCTAATATAACAGTAACAACATAAACCTTTGAATCGTGTTTTAACAAAACTCTCGACATCCAAATTTCTTTATAAACAATGTTGATAAATAAACAATTAAAAGCATGATAGACAAAATGGTAAATTAGCTTGCAAGTTTTGCTCAACATATAGTAAACGAAGGTATGTTTGTAGTTGCTACGGCGTTGCTAAGATAAATAATATTGCAAATATAGATTTTTATCACATTACCAAAAATAAATTTCATACATACATTAAATGAAAGAGAATAAAATTTTGAATAAGAGAAATTTAATTTTTTTTTTTTCATATTTGATCAAAAAATTAGTATTTTAATTGTGCTCTACCACCTTAATGATTTAATGATTTAATTATCTTGAAACCTACCAATAAATACTCTCTAAAAAATAACAACCTTCTATATGAGCCTTTTTGTTGAACAAATTTTAACCGATTTTGCATTGATTATCGTGCGCCCCATCTTTGGAACAAAGTTGCTTTGTCTAATTTTAATTTTAATCTACCTACTTCTTGGCATCTTTTTAAAGTTAAGCTGAAAAATCTTTTTCCCTCCCGTATTATCAAAATTTGACAATAATAATTATATTATGGAAATATTTATTAAACTTTATTATCTATACTACAAAGTGATATATGTGTATATATTTTATTTTTATTTTGTTGTACTTATAGTTACTTTATAACCTAGTATTTTGTTTACGCTAGTATATGGTTCTGAAGATAAGATCTTACTGATCTTCTTTCAGATACCTAGTTTTTTAAATGTTAGTAGTATTTGCTTACTTTATAATTTGTATTTTATTTACTTTCATTATATTGTAAAAACGAACTAACAAATGTGAACTAAAATGTTTGAAGATACTCTTGGTTCCCAGTCTCTGATCACCAACAACTTTAGTTTAGCGTCCTCTTTCCTCATATATATGAACATACTCAAATTTGGAGTTTTCATCATGTTGCAAAGTTGTTTAGCTCAAACATCTGAAAAACTTGTCTACGGACTTGTATTGTGTATTCGACTGAAGGCAATTAAAAGTGATTACTTGTTATAAAACAACAATATACCCAGCAAGCACATAATGTTATTTTCAATGTTATTTTAACATCACAGCAAAATCCAAGATTCTTGTTTTAAGCAAAAAAAGTCTTAAAACAAGAAAAAAATGACTTGCCCGCCACGTAAGAATATTTTTTCTTGTTTCAAGAATTTTTATTCTTAAAATAAGTATTTTTTTTCTTGTTTTAAGAACTTTTTTTGCTTAAAACAAGAATCTTGGATTTTGCTGTGATGTTAAAATAACATTGAAAATAACATTATGTGCTTGCTGGGTATATTGTTGTTTTATAACAAGTAATCACTTTTAATTGCCTTCAGTCGAATACACAATACAAGTCCGTAGACAAGTTTTTCAGATGTTTGAGCTAAACAACTTTGCAACATGATGAAAACTCCAAATTTTTTTCTTAATTTTTTTTTTTTTCTTGTTTCAAGAATTATTATTCTTAAAACAAGAATTTTTAATCTTAAAACAAGAATTTTTATTCTTAATATAAGAATTTTTTTCTTGTTTTATGAATTTTTATTCCTAATAAAAAAATCTTTTTTCTTAATATAAGAATTTTTTTCTTGTTTTAAGATTTTTTAGTCTTAATATAAGAATTTTTTTTCTTTTTTTAAGAATTTTTTTTCTTAATATAAGATTTTTTTTTCTTGTTTTAAGAATTTTTATTCTTAATATAAGAATTTCTTTTCTCGTTTTAAGAATTTTTTTTCTTGTTTTAAGAATTTTTATTCTTAATATAAGAATTTTTTTTCTTGTTTTAGAATTTTTATTCTTAAAACAAGAACTTTTTTTCTTGTTTCAAGAACTTATATTCTTAAAATTATGCATTTTTTTCTTGTTTCAAGAACTTATATTCCTTTAAAAAAAATCATTTTTTTACTTGTTTCAATGTTATTTTTATTTAAAATAAGATTCTATTTTTTTTTTCAATAATATTTCCCCTGAACTATAAAACAATATTACAAAAGTACTTTTTCTATGGAAAAATGAAAAATTATTTTGAAATTAGGATGATATATAATAAGAATATTCAACAAGCATTTATACATTTAAACAGCAAATCAAATCGTTGAAATAACAAATTATTCTTTAAAATGTTTTATTATTGTTCATGCGCGCAGCGGCAATACTCCTCCTATGTCCAAAAAAAGTGTACTCCAATAAGTTCCATCACGAAGTCAGAAAATGAAAAACTTCATAAAATAATCTTTTGCCAAACATAATAATCACTTTGTCTCCATCGTCTGTTACGTACAGATAAGGATTTCTTATACCTGAAAATAAATTTTACAAACTCAAAATTTAACAATAATATCTTTTCATATCTTAAAATGTCGACAATTTATAACTCATTTTAGTTTTACTAATTTTGAGGGTTGGGTATGCATGCATACCTACCTACCTGTATTTGGGTGGCAGTGGGCAAGGAACTGCCAACTTGTGTATTCCATAATGCAAAAGTGTATCAATGTTTTCATTCTTGCTGAGTCAACTGTGACAGAACTTTAATACATGTGCCAACTCTCTCAATTGGAAATTTATTTACCCAGGTTAATAAATTAAAATTCTATACTTAGTTCAATTAAAATGCACCAGAACAAAGTTCTAGTGCATTTTAATTGATCATGTTATAAAAATAAGGATAAAAAATGTAAAAAATTAAAATTAATTAATAATACTAAATTTACTAATTGAAAAGTATTGTTTTCTTTACTTACTTTACTTTGCATATATTTGGAAACTTGCAATTGCTTAAAAGAAAACACACACATATGTCATATATGTGTATGTATGCAACATAAACATGGATATTTAGAAATAGTACTAATATTAATCTTAAGTAAAAACCAATTGTATAATAATAGCAATAACAATATTAAAACAATTATAACGAGGTAACAAATGTTAACAATTATATTTATATTAATATAATAATAACAATAATAATAGTAACAATAATATTGATAAATATTAAATTTAATATTAAACAATAACAATAAGTAATAGTGAATAGAAGTAAAATAATTTTGATATTTATATTACATATAATCATACCAAGAGCAATAATAATGACCCACAATGAGCCCAACATTTTAAGAACAGTAATTACATTTCTCCAAAATAAAAAGACTTAAAGATTAGTTTTAGTAGTAAAGTTTAGTGGTATAAAGTGATAAGTGATATAAAGATATAAAATATAAAAAATAAATTATTCTATGAATAAAAAAATGATAAATTATTTCATGATTTTATGCATTGGTTCGTGATGTGATTTGTTATGCTGTACTTAACTGAACAATGATTTAGAATATATAATTTAAGGTTGCTAAAAGAGGAAGATAATTTTGATAATTTTTTATAGAAGTAAAGAAATTACAGATTGGAAGAGGTAGGGTAACTTGTGTGTGATTTCAGACAAATAGACAATTTAATAGATGAACAAGAGCACACAATTTGATTTTAAATAGAAAGAAAAGAATATTAGAATTAGAATGATATTATTAAAAGTAAATTAATTTAAATATTTTGTTTTTAGATTAGATAATCATAAAAAAATATTGGTTCATAAATTATAAGTATATATAATATATCATATTAGAGTGTTTGTAGTATGTTTGAGAAATAAAATTTATATTAATAGGTTTGTGGACTGACTTTTTTAAATTGATCCAATACTAGAATGCTATATATCATTGGAAAGCCCTCAAATACAGTATTTTAATGGTGAAAAAAATTATGAAAATCAGACAATTCTATAAAAAATATAATGTTTTTAGTAGCAATTTTTCAATATATGGATTTCTTGATAAAACTGTGGTCAAAAAAAAAAAATTTCATACATAAATTATTATAACTTTGACAATTCTTATTCAAATATCTATAACTTAGTATCAAAAGATAGATGTAAAAATGGGCTAAAATTTCAAACTAGTGTCTAGGGCGCATGGAGGGATCCAGAAGGGGTGCTAATCCGCCACCTACACATCACAAAAATATAATTTTTTTAAAATAGTGTGTTTTCTTTATAAAATTAGTATTAATTATATACAACAAGTTATTATTTATTTATTTCACATCACTAGCAAATATTACAGGTTTATCTTAAAGTTGGGTGTTGGGTTTTGGGGAAAGTTTAACACACCCTATCAAAATTTCATTCTTTTAATTATTACAATCTTTACTAAAATGATTAAATCTACTATAAAAAACAAAAAAATATATTTCAACACTATAACAAAGAGTAACTAGTGGTGTATAGATTGCTTTGATGGAAGAGGGCGAATACTGTCTTCTCCACCCCCTGCCATGAACCTGAAAAAATAAATTTTATAAAAATTTCACAAAAAAATGTTTAAATGTTTTTTTAAAAAACAGAGAGAAATTAGTATAAAAAAATATTTTAACACATTACAAAATGCATCAGAGTAACCATTTTGTCATGAAAAAAGACGAATTACACACTCCAACCTAAAAAAAAATACACAAAAACGACAAGCCTTTTGAAATAAAAATGTGTAGTATAGTATGTATAAATTGCCTTTATGCACCCCCTTTCATAAAAGGCAATTTATACACCTAGAGGTGTATAATTTGTCTTTATAAAAAGAGGAGCAAGCCACCCCCTCCTCTGTCAGAACCAAATAAAAAAATTTTAATTACAATTTAACAAAGAAGTCTTTAAATATTTTTTTAAAGAAAAAGAAATAAGAATAAAAAACTATTTTACCACATTACAAGATGCATCTGAGTATACATTATCATGTAAAGGAACAGATTAACCACTCCAACCTGAGAAAACCTGAGCTTCTAGTAAATAATTTAATTTTTAAATAACATTAACAAAACAAAATGAATAATTTTTAACAATAGACACCACCTAAAGGTAAGCCAGAGCCAAATAATCAATTTGCAAGCCACAAAACTTGCGGTACCTACTTGCAAGTTATTTTGCTGGTTACAAAACTTGCTATACTGTGAGCATTTTTACATTAATTTCATATTCCAATTAAAAAAATGTAAACTTCCCTGATATAACAACAGCAACTAGCTGGAGTTTTTAATCTTTTGACAGTTCAATATCAGTTCCATCTTGTTTCCAATAAGTGTAAATTCTGCCTTGTTATTTCTTGTTTACTTTTTTCAATTCTACCATCATAAATGGCAATATGAAAACTTAAACAGAAAATTAACAATGAAAATATAAAAAAAATCTAATTACAAACAACAAACTAACACTTGGAATATTGCTACAAAGTTAAAGTAGTAAACAATAAATTAATAATTATTATTAATTTTTTATTAACTTGAAATTTATAATTCAAAATTATTAATAAAAAACAATATTGATAGTACAAAAGATAAAACTTTAATTGAATATTATTAGTTAACAACAATTTTATCTTTTATACTATTAATATTGTTTTAACATTATTAAAACACTTTAAAAACATTAACTTAATGATTAAGTTTATGTTTTTAAAGTATTTTAATAAAAAAAGTTATAACTGTTATTGACTATTAACATTAATTTATTGTATATTACTTTATTCTTGTATTTAATAATTAGCATGATTAGATAATGGAATATATAAATTTTATACTACTTTATCTTTTAATTATTGTTTACAATAGCCTGTTAAACAGGCTGTTGTGATCAATAATTAAATGGTTTTATTTTATAATGATAGTAAGATAATGATAATATATTTTAAAAACACTAACAAGGCTTTTGTTAGTAAAGTAAATAAGTGTAAAGATAAATAAGTGTAACATTACATAAAGTATGCGATCTTTACACTTATTTATGTATGGTATTTTTATAAAGTTGTCCACTGATATTTTGATCAAAGTATTCTCAATTGTAACTCAATTGAGTTAACAATTAATTCAAAAGCAACAGTTTTACTGAAGTTTTAGTCTTAAACGTTAAGAATTTAAAAAAGATTTTTAAATTTATCAACATAATTTAGTTTTAAAAATAATTATTACTTATACTTTTATTAAAAAAAATAACTTACTAGTTGTTACATAGTCCAACAAAACTTCATTAATTTTTTACACGTTATTATTTAATAATAAAAATCCGAATAAACATTCTCGCTATAACAATTGTTTTGCAAATGACCCCCCTAGCTGCCCCCGTAATTTGCTAAAACCCAAAAAAAATCAGAAAAACAGAAATTAGGTACCAAAAGTGTTACACTTAGTAAACTGCCTGCTCGCTTTTTTTTCGTTTAAATTTCGCATTTACATAGAAAATAAATGTAGAAAACTGTTTAAATAATAAATAGAGCGGGATTAACATTCCTTCTACTACAAATTCAAGTGAGAACTATGTCTATATTTTCATGCAAAATTTGAAGCAAAATAACCCATAAAGAAGTTTAGTAACCATACATAAAAGTTATATAGAAAGCACGCTTAACCTTTCTTCTTTTAAAAACAAATCTTTATTTGCATATTTTTTTAAAAAGAAATACCACAAAAGTACGTTTTACTAAGACTACTGAAAAAATGCAGTAAGCGTGGTAGAACCCTTTGAAACCTATCTGCTCCCTTTTTTTTTTTTCGTTGAAATTTGAAATGTGCATAGAAATTGCATGCAGAAATTTGTTTGAATAATAAATAGACCGAGATCAATATCCCTTCGACTACATATTTATGTAAAAACATCAACCTATTTTTCAGAACCAAAATAATCCATAAAAAATTCAGTAACCATACATAAAAGTTATATAAAAATCAAGATTAATCTTTCTTCTTTCAAAAAAGTATCTATCTGTATATATATTTCTAATAAAAAACTTAACAAAAATACGTTTGCCTAATGCTACCTAAAAAAAAGTTAAAAAAAAACGAGCCACAAAATTTTAGCACAATCGTTTCCGTAAATCGTGATTTACTGTATATATGTACTAATAAAATCTATTTGACTTTAGAAAAATATATTGCTGGTTTAATACAGTTTTATTGATGTTATTCCATTTATGAAAAAATTGGGTGCTAGGTTTGAATACAACAAACAACATTTGGTCCAAATACTCCATTCATCACGAGTTTAATAAATAAGTTGCAGCATTAATTTTTACAAAACCAAAATTAAAAAAAAGTTTCTATATAAAAAATCTAAGATCCGCAGCCATTTTAAAATCTCTAAAATTTCTTATGAACTTTTTAAACATGTAGCTAAGATCCTTTTGAACTTTTTGAACATGTAGCTAAGATCCGCAGCCATTTTAAAATCTCTAAAATTTCTTATGAACTTTTTGAACATGCGCTCATAAACAAAACGCTTGTAATTGACTGTAGGTTTTTAAGATTATGGGTCCCTAATGACAGTTGGGGTGGGGAGGGAGGCGGAAGGGGCAGAGTCTTCAGCCACTCAACAATTACTTGATCCGTCGCTCGGCAGTTTATTCATTTTTATTAAATTCATTTATTATAAAGAAGTGCACAACTTTGGAGCACTTCAAACCAATTCGCTTTTATGCATGCTTGCACCTTACATTTATATTATTCTGCTACTACGTTGCCCATACAAAAGACTTACTTTTATGCTGTTTAGATTTATGCAGATTTGCAGATATGAATATTGCAATTATTAAAGGCAAATTCTATAAAATTCTTGAAGTATACGACTCTTTCTGGTTTGTATTTTAGTCTTATGGATGAAATGGATTAAATTATTTGATTACATAAAATCATGAACACAAGATCTATCAGAGGGTGGGGAGGTTTTTCAGAGAGGGAAATTCAGTGGCTTTAATTTTTCTGAATTCTTTAACTTTTTTCAGGTATACCTGCAGGTATCTATTGATATATATATATATATATATATATATATATATATATATATATATATATATATATATATATATATATATATATATATATATATATATATATATATATATATATATATATATATATATATATATATATATATATATATATATATATATATATATATATATATATACAACATTGTTTGTATATAATATGTATACATATATAAATATATATACATATTATTTACAAACAAAATGTTACAATATTATAAAATTAGGAACAATGTTTTTTATTGAAATATCTTTAAATAAGAATGGAAATCTAAAATAAGAATCAAGTTCATAAAATAAGAATCAAATTCTTAAAACAAGAATCAAGTTCTTAAAATAAGAATCAGGTTCTTAAAACAAGAATCAGGTTCTTAAAATAATAATCAAGTTCTTAAAATAAGAATCAGGTTCTTAAAATAAGAATCAGGTTCTTAAAATAAGAATCAAGTTCTTAAATTAAGAACAAATGTTCTTAAAATAAGAACAAAAGTTCTTAACCTAGAATCTTGAATTTTGCTGTGATTGAGAAATGGTTGATATATGGTTGAAAATAAAGATCTAAATTTCAACGTTATTTCAACGTTAAAAAAAAAAAACGTTAAAATTTCAACGTTGATTCAACGCTGATTTTTAACTAAAAACAAACGTTGAATTAACGTTGAAAAAAAAATGTTGAAATAACGTTGAAAATACGTTGAAACTTAGATACGAGAGTTAGCCGACGCAAATCTACTAATAATTCGGTCTTAAAATAAAATCTAATATTTCTCATAAAATAGTGCGTAGGAAAGTTCTTAAAAAACGGAGTGTATGCGAATAGACTATATTTAATTATAGTCTATTCGTATACATAATTATAGGCATTTTAAGAAAATTAGACTTATTATTATTAGTTTTTAACTTTAAAATTAAACTAGCGCAGTGGGCGTCCTATGATTTAACGGAAATCCTTAATTTCAATTTAGAACCGAATATGAGAAATTTATTACGCAACCGAAAATATTCACGAAAAAATTAGACGGAATGGAGTGGAGTACTAACGTAGTACTTATGTTGACTGACTTTTAAAGGATATGCGCACCGTAATGTATATACATATTGACTGCTTATCTAGGAATAGACACAGTGTAGTATAAATACAATGACAAGGGTTTTGGCTTGGACAGGCAGTCTTTTAATTACAAAAAAAAGGATTTCATAATGTTCATTTTATCTATTGGCACGTTTTTGTTTTTTGAATTAAAAATGTAATTATGCTTAAGTAATTTTATTTAATTTTATTATATTTTGATTAAAAAACTTAAACTACTTTCAAAATATACGACTTAAGTTATAAACCTTTTTTTGTTTGTGAAAGATTTCATATTAAAAAATCTAACTTGAAATTTTTTCAATATTTTTTTTTTCTTTTATTTTTTTAAACACATATATAATGCTTGAATACCTTACTATAAAGATGCTTTTTATTTAGATAGAGTTACCCGATGTTTTAAAATAAAAAACACGATGCTCGAATTTATATCGCAGCTGTTTTTATCGAATTTATATCGAAGCTATTTATATAGAAATTATATCGTCATTCAGAGATAAATGTAAGAGGTAAGTAAGGAAACCGGTACCAAGAAATAAAAACTATTTTTATTCACAGATGTGACTTTTTCACGTTTAAAAAAAAACAACTACTTTTCTATAGTTTAGACTCACGACTGGACATTGAAATAACTTATTCCAATGTTTTGGAAAGTTGTGCGTTATCTGGAGAGTGTAAATTTTAAAGTTATAGATGCAACAACATGAAAAAATTATATATAGCATTAAAATATAATAGATAGCGATAAAACTAACTTAATCATAATGATAGATTTATCTACTTAATTGCATATGTTTTTTATTCAAAAATAACTTCCCAAATCTGTTCAAGTATTTTTGGTTCTATGGAATCATGTTTCAAAATTTCATAGCTCCGTTTTTAAAAGAGGTTCAAAACTTGATACCAAAATAGTAATTGATCATACAAACTTAACATCATATCCCGTTATGGGAGAATGCCTTGCAACCCAAGTATTACAGAGTAAAACAGAAGAGCAAGTTTTGAAACGTTTTGGACCACCAGAAACAGTTGGAAATGCAAAATTATTTTAGACCCCTTATTTTTCACCCCAATTTGAATTGGGGTAAAACTAAAAAAAGGGGTGCTTCGAGGTGCAAATTAACAGAGATACTTTTGAAAAAAATGAAAAATTGAAGGGTTATTAAATCATTTTTACAGCACAAGAAAATTGTTTTTTTAAATAAGAAACTACCCAAAAAAAAATTAAAAAAAAAAAAAAAAAAAAAAATATATATATATATATATATATATATACATATATATATATATATATATATATATATAAATATAAATATATATATATATATATATATATATATATATATATATATATATATATATATATATATATATATATATATATATATATATATATATATATATATACAAACTGATTTATGAACACACTACTGATAGAATAAGGCCGAATAAAGTTGAGATATATGAGTGGATTGGTGAAAAGTTCAGAATTAATAAACGAGAGAAAGGAAGGGGAAATTCCAGTTGACACTTCAGAGCCCCCAGCTAAAAAGTTCAAGCATTAATATGTCAGTCAGTTTGACTTCAAAATAAAATTTTAAATATAACTGCTGTAGTAGTTATTGCCAATAACTGTATTTTTTATCAATTAAAGTTTTTAGTTTTTACAGGGATCTTTTAAAAAAAAAATTTTTTTTTTTTAAAATCCTTGTAAAAAATTAGAAACTTTAATTAATAAAAAATAAAAATTCATACCAGTATATAATAAAAAGTTAGACTGCTGGTTGTTATACAACGTCTTCAAATCCAATTATCTAAAATAATCAACCCAATCGCTGTTTAATAAACCATAAAATTCAACCCCTACACTGTTGTTGATAAGTCATAAAGAATTTAAAACTATTTTTCAATCAATACTTCCCTATCAGAAAAATAACTTAAGTAGTATACAGTAAAAACTAGATAGTTTACGCCTCCTTCCTTTCCGATGGTGCGAATTATGACCAGAGCTCGCGTCAAACTCGGGATCTCTTGCTTCTTTAGCTTTCTAACCATATATACGTAAAGCATAAATTAATTGATGTATTATTAACATATGCCAACAATCATCAAATAAAACCAGAAAGAAAAAAAGTTTATCATAATAGAAGATTTGAAAAAATATACAAAAAAATGTTTAATAAATTAGAGTACTTTTTTTTTCTAAATTAAAGCAAATCACATTTACACTTAAGCTAAAATAGTTCCAACCAATTAATAAACAGGTGAGTTGATTATATTCATTTAATTCTTTTAATTTGTTATTAAATTAAACTTTTGATTAAATGATATGTTTACTTGAATTTTCAATGATTGTTAATAATTCCAAAAACAAAAGCAATTTAGTACTAATAATAAAAATTGGTGGTTTTAGTTCATGTTTTCGTTTTTAATGACATAACTATCGGGATATATTGTTTCTAATGACTCTGATATTTTTTTTGTAGCAATAGAGTCATCTTCTTTCCTTTTGTTAGGAAATGACACTTTACGTCGTATAGTGTTCCTGATATATGCTGCTGCTTTACCAAAGTGGTTCATAAGAACTAATTTTGAAACAAAAAATGAACAAGGTGCCGCAAGGAATGATACGTACAATACGTAAGGCGCTGCAGAAGCGGAGCCCAAACTTCCTAAAATACAAATTAATGACCAAAATGGTAAATTTACTGCTTTAGCCACAGCGTAATAATGCTGCCTTTTATTTTTCTGAAAATGTTTTAATGAAGCCCAGTCATAAAAATATTTTGTTCCAGTAAACACACCACACAAAAAAATAAAAAAATTCGCTATACTTGAAATAAATACAACTGTTGCAGAAAAACGAATAGCAACAACTGAATCCTTATTTCCTTTGGTTGCAAAATGCAATACTGTGTTTCCAGCTAGCGGACATAGACAGCAAAACATAAGAAATACTTTTTGAAAATATAGCATAACGGAATTTACGTTTTTAATTAAATGTAGAACAGAATGATTGACGTACCATAAAGCCGAAACTAAACAGAACGACGCGAGAAACGTAAGAAACTCAGGTGTCATAACTTTCAAATTGTAATTGAGGCCATCCTTCTCAACACTGAATTTTTTTGGAAACTCATCAACCGTAATATCAGCTACAAGAATACATGCCATGATAGCAATTGCATTATCACTCATGTTTTCAACACGTTCTTTTGGAACATTCCCTTTTGAAAAGTTTTCCAAAAAAAATCCTTTTTCTGTTGCGTCGTTATTTTTATATTTTCGGCAAACAAACCAGTAAAATTTGCGAATTGTGGGCATTAGGATTAACAATGCAATGACTGCCCACGATACTCCATAATGAACCAAACAAAACGCAGCAGCAATCGCAAGTAAAATTAAACTAATTAACGGCTTAAATAGCATTATCGAAGCTAATTCGCGTAGATCTGATTTTGTCCAACATTTTAATTCTAAATGCAAAAGTTTTGGTGAAAACGTACCATATAAAATTATTACAATGTCTATTATTTGAAGAATCGTTAAAACAATGCACGTTGATAAAACTGAAATTTTTTCATTGGGATAATGACCTTGAAGTTCTACAGTAAAGGGGAGTGTAGAGGTAACCAACATTTCGAAAATAATAAGAGCTAAAATTAAGTCATCTACCCGTTTAATTACTATTGCACGTATGTTCATATTTTCCCAAACTGTTAAAATAATTAAAAAACCAAACAAAAATTCTATAAACTGAAGGTAGCTTGAATTAAAAAACTCTGAAAGAGATTGGTTTCCTGAATTTTTTTTCAAATTTCGTATTGGAAGTACAAGAAACGTTGCACAAGTCGCCATTACGGTGTCTGAATAACTCAACAATCTTGCGGTTGAAGCAATATCTCCTCTATGATGATCTTCTGGCATGGTTTTGTTTAAATATTCTTCATAATTTTCCTCTGTGTCTTTCCACGTGCTTCTTTTTCTGATATTTTTACTTGAGCCATTAACATTTTCAACTGTTTCTAAACTCATTCTTTTTCTATAAAAAAGAAATAAATTTAATTATAATTTAATAAAAAATGTTGAAAATCTCCTTTATTATTATATGTACTTAACATGGTAGTCATAATTTTATTTTCGGTGGTTATTTAAAAAATCGAAGAAATCAATATGGTCTTATCAGAGAGTTCCGCAATAAAGCATTTAATAAGAAAGTTTGTGCCTTCTCTCTAAATAATGTTTAACCCCTAAATAACCTCGGACCTCTTTGTTCTGAGCTTGAACTCTAACCGCAATTTACTAAATAAAAAAAATAGTAAAATTTAATGTTTACATTAAAAAACATTCCGCTCTCTTTTTTATTTTTCATTTCGTTATAAAAAGAGATTTTTTGATTTCTTTATAAAAAGAGAAAAATCGCTAAAGATCTGTTAGAAATTGACAAAGAACTTTTTGACAGTGATTTATACATGAATGAGAAAATGTAGGAAGATTTACTGGACTAAAATCATGAAAATATAAAACCTCAAATTGAACTAAACAAAGTTCATTTATGGGCCTTACATTAAAATTTTACGCAAACTAATAACACTATTTATACAATCATCTAACAAAAATAAAATCTTACAAAATATTGCTTGACAAAGTTGACAGCCTACTATTATGCTAAATAATTTACAAAAATAAAAAATTATATACAAAAGTCATTAAATGATACTATTCCAGAACAGCATAATGTTAAAGCTCTGTCAAATGACAAATTAAAAACATTATCTGAGATTATTACAAGTCTAGTTTCCATGAACCCAGGAAAAAAAGTTCTATAGAATTTTCTATCAACTTTTGAAATATATGGCTTATAGAAACTCTGTAGAATTTCTATAGAATGTCTATTAGTTTTCATAGAAATTGCTATAAATTTTTTATTTTCTATAAAAAAAAAAACAAAAAAAAAATTTCTATATAAATTTTTATAAAAATTAACAGAAATTCTATAGAAATTCTATAGAATTCTATAAAATTTCTATTTGCCATATGTTTCAAAAGTTTATAGAAAATTTCTATACAACTTTTTTTCCTGGGAAAGCAACTAAGTGTCTCAGACTTTGACGCCGGGATTATAGCCAGTTTACTTCCCATATTAATTTTATATTTACCAAACTAAAATGCTAACTATAACATAAGCAAGAAAATGCGTAAAGCTAAATTGTTTGTATGTCGAGTTGATAATTTTCAATCGAGGAATGAAAAGAAAGGGATGTAGCAATTTACAGAGATCTTTAAATCTCTAAAGATCTATTTATCTATAGAGATATAGTTTTTCTTTATAGTAAAACTTTTTCTTTATAGCTTTTTCTAGTAAAATATTGGTGTCACGCATTATTTAAGAGCTGAGCATTGGGCTCTATCATCTTTACGTTTTAAATCCTATAATAATTCATTAAAGTTGATACAGTAGTACATAATTATTCCAAAGAGTAATTAAAAACTGTGCGCTTGACGATACCCATCTGGTAGCTAATTTAGGAAAATCCTGAGTTTTTACAAAATTATCAGTCGTAAATCAATAAATTTTCAATATAAAGAATTATACTGCTGCATAATGGTTGAAAATTAAAAAAAAAACGGTTAAAAAACTTAAACTAATCTAAAAAGTTTTTAATATTTGGAATTATGTTGAGACAACTTTTTGAGTAAACACTATTTTGGTTTTTAATTTAAATGACTGCTTAAAAACTAAAATAGTGTTTACTCAAAAAGTTGACACAGTTGTGATACAATTGACACATTTGTGTCAAAAGTATTTCTTACCTTATCTCCATAATTGCTATGAATCTTATTTCTATCATTATTTTGTGCTTTGTAACAATAAACAAGACTTACAACCTCAAGGTAAGAGTTCTAGACCGAGATCAAAACAAAAATTTTGAAGTTAAAGACCAACTAAGTGTCAAATATTTAAATTCTATTGCTAAAACGGTTTAAACTGTTCACGACCATCTTTTGTATACAGATTTTTCTAAAATTAGTAGATCAGCAAATTGCCATATAGTGAAATAACCTCTTGTAATCTTTTGAAATACCACATACAATGCGAAATCACTTTAATAAATAAAAAAATGCACATTATGTAGTCAGAGCTTCTTTTGTTTTCAAAAAAAAATATTTTTGTTTTGACCAAACCCAACGGGCATTTACTTTTAAAAGGTACGTTTTAAATGTCTTTTAAAAGTTTTTTAAAAGTCTTTTAAACGTTCTTTACGTAAGAATGTTTAAATGGCGTTTAAAAGATATTTAAAATACATTTTGAACGTAACTTTTAAAAACAAATGCCTGCTGGGAACCTTGCAAACAAAATTTACTTATAACAATTATCAACATTAGGGTGCAGATTATTGAAGCTCAGTGTCATTTAATCTTACACATAAAAAATCAAAAAAGATTCGAAGATCTTTCTTATTGAAACAAATTAAAAGAAATCTAAATTTTAGGCTTCTTTAAAAACTCTCTGCTTTTTGTTTGTTATGGTGTATAATATCTTTATGTATGTTATGTATTTAACATCAATAGAACTGTTAAAATGTTTTATTTTGTATTTTAGAAAATCGAAAAAGATTAAAAATAAAATTAATGTGAAAGCGACAGGATTTGAACCTTCGTGTTGTACTTCGGGAGATACGTCGAGCTAATTATTACAGTGAGCTAATTAGTTCGGCCACTTAGGCACATTAACCTGACAATTTTAATACTATTTAATGAACAAAATCGAAAATACTTTATAAAATCATAAAATAAATGGTATAAATCAAAATGGAGATTTTTTCGAAATACAATTTTTAAACAAAAGTAAAACTTTATAAAAGTGAAAAATATATATATTTTTTATTATTTTATTAATTATCTTCTGTAAATTATATTTTCAAGGTAAAAACACAAGCTAAGAAAAAAGAGAGATAAAAAAGTATCATTTAGGAATGTTTTCTTCAAGTTTGTTTTTAAAAATTGTTTGCTCTTGTTTTTTATTTTAACATTGAATCACCTGTACCAAAATATGAAGAGTAGCTTCAGGAATTACATTCTCTGAGTTTCTAAGTTTTCCTTTGAACATGTTTCTTTGAACAACCATTCCCGACATTTCGAATTTTTTCATTTTAGCATTTTTGTGTGTAAATGTACTGATTTAACATTTTGCAATTTTTGATTGTTTGGTTGCAGGTGCTTGTTCTTCATTATTATTTGTGGTTACCCAGCATTGTTTTTCTCAGATACTTTGAACAACTATTATCTAAACCTTGCACGCCCTAGCGGAAATAGTTTATTTGAAAAAAATATTCATCAGAAACGGTTTGCATTTTTAAAACCAAGATACTTTGAACAACTATTATCTAATTTTTTTAAATATTTGTTTGACAAATACGGTTAAACGCTGGTCATGAATTTTTGGTGTTAAAATTAGGTAACTTCCAAACATAGTGCAAACTATAAATTTTTTAATATTGATAATAGTATTAAATAAAGATGTTTTACACAAATTTACAGTGGTTAGAGCCTGGGAACAATATTGACCTGAAAAATCGAGACCCGCTGTCTTAAATGTGGAATGAAGACAAAAAAAGTTTATTTTTGTAGTATCTTAAAACAGATCAAAATTCATTGGAAAAATTAATTTGTCTAAAAAAATTTTTCATTATCCAAAATTAGCGACCCCCTTTATTTGTGGGAGTTGTCAACTTTACGAGTTCATAACTTAGAACGTTAAAATAGTTTTTTACTAAATGAGAATTTAATAAATGAGTTTTAATCGAGTTTATAATCGCAAAAAAAAATTTAAGTGCTATTATTGTCCCTTTACCTAACAAAAAACGTGACATTTTTGGGCCCCAAGTTTTATGTGAAATACGTAACTAAAAAAACGTTTTCATTACAGGTTAAATAAACAATATTCCTTTGTTTTGGAACAGCGTCTTAATTGGAACACTTGCATTTATCTAAAAAAAAATAATAATAATGGCTATTTTTTGCATTTTTTTAGGAAAACGCATTATTTTAGGAAAACGCATTATTTTCTGCGTTTTGACACATTTTGAATGTTATTTTTTAAAAAATGCGTTTGCATTATTGATTAAAAGTTTTTTTACGTCATTTTTTTTTCAGTGATCTAGTTTTGTGTTCATACTATGTTATGGTTGTGCTGGGTAAACTATGGTGCTATAGGTTATATGGTTTTTTGTTTTTAATTTGATGGAGTTTAAAATGCAAAATAACAGTATAAACTTATCTTATAAGACGCTGCAAGCATGTTACTGCAGTGATATAACAAAATAGTCGAAAGTTTCCTTGATTGAAACTATAAAGTTTTCCTTACCTAATCAGTAATAAAATCAAAGGGTTGTAAAAATAGCTCAAGTGCAATTAAAAAATACTTAGTAAAAACCATAAATCCTAAAAATAATACTTTATTTACTGATTTTTAAACAAAAAATTAAGAGAACATCATAACAGGTTAAAGCTTTTATAAAACTTTTTGTTTGTAGACTTTGAGTTCGTCAGTCATACTAATTAGTAGTGCTTGAGTTCGTCAGTTATACTAATTAGTAGTACTTTAGTTCATCAGTCATACTAATTAGTAGTACTTGAGTTCGTCAGTCATACTAATTAGTAGTACTTGAGTTCGTCAGTCATACTAATTAGTAGTACTTGAGTTCGTCAGGATAATACTAATCCTATAATAAGTTTTGAATTAACTGTTTATATTTTCACATTAAAAATAAAAAAAAGTTTAACAAGTTTTTGTTGATTTTACTGGGTTTTTAACCCAGTAACCTGTTCTGATTAGTGTTCCAATTTAGGGAACCAGTTGCCTTGATTAGAACAAAATGGTATCTTTGCAAAAACAAATTTATTTCCAGTAACAGTGCAATCAATTAAGTCAAATTGTGGTTAAAAGTATATTATGGATGTCTGTTTGTATTAATTGAATTATAAATGTTTTCATAGTTAAGCCATCTTTAGTTATTAAATATTTATTCCTTAAGTGTTCCAATTAAGGCAACTCTCCCCTATACCGCAAAATAAATTTATTATTAGCCCCAATAGTAACGCAAATAAATATTTTTTTTTTTTTTTTTTTTTATTTTAATTCGCCTCCTCAAGGCCGAGAAGGCCACTACAGACGAGGAGGCTACTTATTTGTGGTTATAACCCTCTCTCAACTCTATAACTCCGAAACACGAACCTTGACGAACAAGGCCGCTGCGCGGAGAAACAAGTTGAATATCCGTAATATATAATAATCCGTAATATATAAGCAACAGCATTTAGAAAAAGACAATTTTAAAATGTTAAGAAACAAAATTAAAAATAAAAAAATAAAAAAAAAACTTGAGCTACAATTACTCCAGGATCAACATTTGAAAATAGATGGAGAATTAAGTCGGGAAGATTAAAGGCATTATTACCTGGAAAAATAAATATATGAAAAAGTTGTACTCTAAAAACAAGAAGATTGGAACGATACCCAATGAATGCCGCTATTTATCTTCCCAACCTATATTTACTAAGTTAAATATACTAAATATCTACTTAATAAATATTTTTCATCTTTTAACTTTTATGTTCAAAATAAATAAAAGTATTATTCCAAAATCCTCTAACCTGTTATTCAAAACGAAGCAGAATAAATACTTAACTAGATACTCAAATAACACCTATATACAAGCCAAAAGTTATTTTGCGGCAACTGAGTTTTTAATTTTAATTGGAGGACCAAAGACATGGATTAAAATATTTACAAATGAACTTAAGTTGTAAATGATTTTAAGGCGAAACTTAGGCAGGTTTTTCTAAAGAATAATATACTGCAAAACTATTTCTGAAATTTTAATATACCCTTATGATTGATCTATCACATAAATGAACAATTTAGAAAAGTTAATTTTAGAAAAGATTGAGTTAATTGCATTAATTTTTTAAATTTATTTATGTCTTTGTTTGAAATGTGTTGTCATTCTTTTTGTTCTTTTTCTTTTTGTGTTCTAAAGTTTGATATTAAAAAGAGAAAGAAAAAATTAAATGCATGATTTTTCCATAAATTAAAGTTACATATTTCCATGTTTTTAGAAGTATATGTTTAAGCCAACAGCGCTTCATACAATTTTTTAACAGTAGATGTTTCATTTATTATTTTACTATTTTTTACATTTGTTTCTTTTAAGTAGTTAGCAGAATTTCTTCTTTTTTTTTAATCAAACTCTTTATTTACGGAACTTATCAAGGGCTTGGCGATAAAACGTAATTGTCTTCTTCTCGCCCCTGCTACCTATTTATCTTGTTAGTAACGTACGGAATGCATATATTCACACTTAAAATGATCAGAAACTTCCAAGTAAAGTTTTACTCAAATATCTTAAAAAAACATTTAAATTTTACAACTTTTTTCAGAGTTTTGGCTCAGAGCCGAAAGGTTTGAATGTCAATGCCGGCTTTAGCCCAATAACAAACATTGGTAAGGAAAGCTCTGCAATGCGACCGTATGGACTGCTGGGAGTGCTACAAAAATAAAGAAAAAAAAAAAAATCTTTTGGCAATAGATTTTTTTTTTTTTTTTTTTGGTGGCGTTCTTTTGTGGCGCGAAAGTTTTGCTGAATAAAAAAGGCATTTGAAGTTACTTTTAATTAATCCTTACAATTTAAATTGTTAAAAAAAATAATGAAACTTCATTCGTAACCATTATCAAATAGGTAATTTGTTTACGTTAAGTTTTTAGATTTTTATTATTTCGATCTACCTAAAAATAAGTACATTTTATTTCCGGTAAGTCGAATACCGCTTAACTCGAACGTTTATTCTCTCAAAATATTTTGTTTGGTCCTTTTAAGACTTAAAAGGACCAAGACTTAAATTAAGTAGTCTAATCGATTACTATCAAAGTTCTCGGATAACTCTAACTTTGGATAAGTCGAACCATTTTTTATGTCCCCTTGAAGCAAATTTCTTCGGATAACTCGAACTTTTTGTAAGTAATTAAAGAATTTAAAAATGACGAAGCTAAAATTTTTTTGAACAAAAGTCTGACATACAAAACATAAACAACTATAACCTAATACTTTATTTTTTTTGAACAAAAGTCTGACATACAAAACATAAACAACTATAACCTAATACTTTATTTTTTTTTTGAACAAAAGTCTGACATACAAAACATAAACAACTATAACCTAATACTTTATTTTTTTTTGAACAAAAGTCTGACATACAAAACATAAACAACTATAACCTAATACTTTATTTTTTTTTGAACAAAAGTCTGACATACAAAACATAAACAACTATAACCTAATACTTTATTTTTTTGTTGTGTTTAGATATGAATAGAATAGATCGTTGTTAGGCATAAAAAAAATGCTATGCAAAAACTGTTAAAAGATAAATTATAATAAAAACTAAACAATTATTTTATATTTTTATGAATTTCTAAATAAAAGACTTGCTTTTGTACGCATTTTATTACTAAGTAAGAAGGAAGTCATTGTGTTGATGAACTTTTTAAAATGGACCCAGTGAGCATCGAACTAAAAAAAGACGTCTTTTAAACGTTCAAAAGACGTCCAAAATGTTCAAAAGACGCTCGAAACGTTTAAGAGACGTTCAGAAAACGTCTTTTATATGTCCCGTGCCCACTGGGGTGGGTCGAGATATCAGAAATTAACTGTGTTTTGTTTAATAATAAAGACAATTTATTAAAAAAACTTTTTTTTTTTTAAATAAATAATGATTATTAGTTGCCATCATAATATTCTGGAGAAATTATTTAGTCAACAAGTGCTTTCGTTTTTTCCTGGTGAATTTCAAAAAAATATGCTTTATAAATCTTTTTTAAACATTGCACTATAAAATTTCATGTTTTTTAAAAAAATTTCTCACATAAACAAAATGATTACCTGTTATAAGTTGTGTATATATAAAGAAATAGTTCTGCAAAAATTACACGCGAATTATTAATAAGCGCTTTTTAAATATGTCACAGTCTGCCTTTTATGATAGAAACATCAATGCCTTTAAAGTTTACACGCTTTTTGTGTGTAACTTGCCGTCTTTGTAATTAATAATATTCACTTTAAATTAATAATATATACTTTTCAATAGTTTTTATCATCCAATTAGTGTCGCAGATTGGGTGCTAAAGTTCATAGATTATACATGTTACTATACCAACAAATCTACAAACAAGATGTATGTCAACGAACAAAAAGATTGAAATTTATATTATGAGATTATTGGATATTTATGTCAGGCCTAAAGAATAATACATTAAATCCCACGAAATTTTTCACACTTAATCACTTTTTGACGGGAAATCGTACTTGCTTACCTAACTAACTCAGTACCATTATTATTATTTTTTTAAGTTTTTACTGCTCACATCTTTTATTTATTTTACATTTTTACTCATTTAATACTTTCTCTTTTTTTGGTATGCAAATTTTCAAAATTTTTTATATATTTAATGTTTTATTTATTGTCCTTAATTATTTTTGTAAGCTTTTTAATATGTTTAACAACCTGAATAAAATTTTGTTGTTTCATTTAAATTTCATTAAACGTATTGAACGTATTAAACGTTTATTGAAACGTACTGAATACGTTTACTAAACGTATTGAAAACGTTTACTAAACGTATTGAATCATATGAAACGGTTTAACTTTTGAATTAACTATCGAAATAAAAAATAAAAAGTTTTAAAACAGGCTATATTGAATAAACAGCGTTTTTTTTTAATTCAGATTCCAGTAAGTTTCCCGACGGGCATTTGTTTTTAAAAGTTACGTTCTAAATGTGTTTTAAATGTCTTTTAAACGTCTTTTAAACATTAATGTTTAAAAGACGTTTAAAAGACATTTAAAATACATTTAGATCGTAACTTTTAAAAACAAATGCCCGTCGGATTTGATCAGTGAATTAATTATTATTGCCCTGTTAAACACTGACAAAAAAAAAACTGTATCGAATTTTTTACTTAAATTAATTTTTTTATGATTTATTTTCGGACTCGATACCCTAAGAAATTTTTCCAATATTTAAAAAAAAATGATTAATGGCATTTTTAAATATTTTAATTGCTAAAAAAAGTAATAAATACTTAAAATAAAAAAAACCCATATTGATTTTATGTCAACAAAAGCCGTAAAAATTATTGAAATCCTACATAAGGCTAAAAAATTATTGTAATAAGAATAATTCAAAACAATTATAGTACTCATTTATTCATTGCTATATTTATGCTAATTTTGCGAAGGCAACTACAAGTAAAAGTAAGCTACGACCATCAGTAACATGTAATACTTGTAATATAATTTTTAAATCGTTTTTTAAAATACTTTTTTATCAAATAAATTTTCATTCATTTTTCAAAATGCTTTTTTAAATAAAGGTTTATGAATTAAACATTATAATTAACCTCATGCAATGCTCATAATATATTTTTTAAATCGTTTCTCCAATTCTTTTTTATCAAAGAAATTTTAAATCATTTTACAAATACTTTTTTGAATAAAGCTTTATGAATTAAACATTATAATTAACCTTTAGCTTTACGTTTTTTTTGTATGACTTTTAATGTTTTTAAAGATTTATGCACTCTTAAAGCAAAAAATAAAAATTATTTGCGAAATAAATACTTTATTAAAAAACCTTTTTGTCTAATAAAATTTAATTAATTTTTTACAACTTATCAAGCACCTTATATTTGTAATAAAATTGTTCAAATTTGATTTGTCAATCTTTTTTTTTTTTTTTGTCAATCTTTTTTTTTATTTTGTTTTTAAAAATAAGTTAAAGAGTATTATTTCTTCAATTGATTATAAATTATAATATTTTTGAGATATAATTTGTAACCATTATTATTTGAACTATTTTAGATTGTTGTTTATATTTTATTTATTTGTATTATATATATATATATATATATATATATATATATATATATATATATATATATATATATATATATATATATATATATATATATATATATATGTATATATATATATATATATATATATATATATATATATATATATATATATGTATATGTATATATATGTATATATATATATATGTATATATACATATATATATATACATGTATATATATATATAAATATATATATATATATATATATATATATATATATATATATATATATATATATATATATATATATATATATATATATAATATAAATGTTTATATTGCAATTTTTATATGGTTCTTGCGACAAGATCAGTATAATCTTCTTCCAGATTCTAAGTTTATATTATACGACATGTAATCAACGCTAACTGAAACATTAGCCTAAACTTTGTGATGAATGGATACTTCCTAGAGTTCTAAGCTTACCATTTGAAAATGCGGCATTTCTTTTTTTCTAATTTTACAAGAAGGAATGCGTTAATGCTGAATTTTAATTTAAAAAATATATATTAGCCTAATTCAATTTACAAGCACAAAAATACTTTAAGCCCTGCACTTTAAAATTGTGGTATCAGTAATTATATTTTGATAATGATTTATGTCAGTAATTTAGGTTTTGAATTTATTCAAAATATTTTGAATCGAATAAAACTTCTGATTCTGAATCGAATAAGATCTAAAAAAGATATTGGTACAACAGTTGTTTATGAAAAATCTTGTAGCATACTTAAGATGTATATGTTATTTAATGATGGTTTAAGCCTTTAAACCCAAACCTTTAAACTTTGTAATATTGATACTAATATTAAAAAACTTTATAAAGTAATTGATTAGGAATTTTAAAATATGTCAAGTTTTGCTTTGCATTTATAAGTTTTTTCTGTGTAAAATCATTTTAAATATTTTTCTTTGTAATTTGCCGAAGTTTATGTCAGCCATCATCTTATAATCGTTTTAATTAAGAATGATATCTATAATGTTTGAACTATTTTTATCATATGATTAGTGACAAGATCAGCTGTATTGAGATTTTATATTTTATTATGTTAACAAATCTATAAATAATATATCAACGTATATATAGACATATATTTTTTGTTTTTAGCATGAGAATATTGAACAATTATTTCGCGCAAAAATATGATTATATAGAATCACCCACAAGTCTTTTTTATGATAGTATAGATTCACCCACAAGTAGTACGAAGTTCATAGATAATACAGTATAGATTCATCTATATATTATAGTATAAATTTATCACTAACCTCACATTAAATCCATTGCAATAATAACATAGACAATAACTTGCAATAACAACATTCTTTAGTCATTGTGTTTTTAATCCCAATATCAACTTCTTGCACCTCCTAACATCGAGTGCAATCCTGTCCGCTTTCTCTATGCTGTCTGTCTAACACGACTACTTCTGTCTTTCACTCTAACATATCTTCGTTCTTCCTAAACTCACTTTACTCTCGGTCCGTAGAGCGGGTTATGACGCTCCTTGGGGAGCCGAACCTGTCTTTGCGGTACCGTGGTAATGTGGCCTCTATATGGCAACTAGCTGGAGGAGGATAAACCACAATACCACATTAAATTCATTACAAAATAAAAATATAACTGACTGGAAGGAGAACGAAGTTAAAATATGTCATTTTTCAAGGGACAATCTTAGTAGTAACATAATTTTCTATTAAACACCGCGTAACTATAAAAATTTAAAGTTAACCAATTACATTTCAATTTTAACAAAAATTAACCAATGATATTCTTTTAAAACGTTATAAGCATTGAAAATAAAAGATGGAAATTTAAAAAATTTGATAGCAATACTTAAAGTTAGCTTATTGTTATTTTTTTATATTTTGCTTTTTGAACAAACCTAATAATAAGTTTCTAAATTAGAATTGAATCAATAAATGTCTTGATAAGAGTTGGTAGTATTTATGTCGGATTTACAAATTTTTTTTTAAATCCAGCAAAAATAATACAACACATATAAAAACCTGGAGAGACATAATAAGTTCCTTGTTGAAGAAACTTTCTTTAAGAACGTAACAAACCTATAGCTAAACGGTGAAGCAAAAGATAAGGTTCAACCAATTAGCAGAGACCTAAAACTTTGATAGTTGTACCTAGTATCGAGGTACTCAAAAAACTTTACTTTTGTAAAAGAAAATGATTACTTTTTTTTGTAATTATTACTTTTGAACCAGTTGTTAAAAACTTATCAAGTCAATTTTTGAGAGAGTATGCCATTTTGATTACAGCTTACAAAGGTTATAAACTACATTTCAAAATTTTTATATGAAAATTGACACGTAAAAGAGCTTAAGATTTCCTACTTATGTTTTTTAAATAAATTAGGCGTTTTGTAATTTATAGATGATCCCTCAGATAGTCAGGTTTTTTCAAATTCAGAATAAGCATTTTAAAACATGGATCTCTCTTTCAATGTTTGGTTTTCAATATACTTTTCGTCTAACCAAGATCAATTCAGTTTATTAACATGATTTCTGTAAAAATTGTATAATTAATTAAGTTTTTTACTTTTAGCACAATCTGGTTGTTAGAATCAGATTGGTTTGTGATTGCCTCTTTGGTTTCTACCATAGAAATAAAATTTTAAAATTATAAATATTACAAATCCATTTGTTGTTTAAAAATTGCCAATGTTCAGGTCAGCCGGACATGTTCTAAAATTGATCAACTTAACTACAAAATAGTTTCTCTAAGGTCTTAAGATGATGATGTTTTAGTTTCTTTAAGGTCTTAAGATGATGATGTTTTAGTTTCTCTAAGATCTTAAGATGATGATGTTTTAGTTTCTCTAAGGTCTTAAGATGATGATGTTTTAGTTTCTCTAAGATCTTAAGATGACGATGTTTTAGTTTCTCTAAGATCTTAAGATGATGATGTTTTAGTTTCTCTAAGATCTTAAGATGATGATGTTTTAGTTTCTCTAAGATCTTAAGATGATGATGTTTTAGTTTCTCTAAGATCTTAAGATGATGATGTTTTAGTTTCTCTAAGATCTTAAGATGATGATGTTTTAGTTTCTCTAAGATCTTAAGATGATGATGTTTTAGTTTCTCTAAGATCTTAAGATGATGATGTTTTAGTTTCTCTA